TCACGTTCCCGTCTTGAAACAGTCCTTCTAGAACAAGTGAACTTTTCAATGTTTGAGTTTATGCACTTTCTAAATCTTCTACAGTGAGTTAGTATTAACATTATAATCAGAAAAATACCACCTTTGAAATGCGGGAAGTCCTTAAGACTCCTTATCTTGTTTGGGCTTCACTGAGCCCCTGCAGAGAGGCCAAGAAGGGATTGATTTCCTTGTGGGTGAAATGAGGAAATCACTGCCCACTTGGGCCGCGGGGAATTGAAGGCGGGGTCCTATGTGAGAGCAGGGCACCGAGTCTCCAGCCAGCGCCTGGCATGGATGATGGCCCTCAGCAGCCTCCTCCTGACTCTGCTCCCAGAGTGGCCAGGGCCAAGACTGATGGAAAACTCCGGATCCAGGGCTCTATAAAAGTCCTCCTCCTGGACATCTGCACTACATAAATTGTCAAGATGCAGCCAAACTTGATGTGCAAATTTATTTAATGAGGCTGTATTTTTAATAGCAAAAAGTTAGAACGAAGTGTTCAACAAAAGGAAATTGGTTAAATAGATGAAGTCCTTGAAGGATGCAATATTACACCATTCAAATATAGTTTTTTTTCTTATCTTTATGAACTATGTTATGTCAATTCACTAAGCTGTCCCACGAGACTATGGTCCTAAGCTTTTTAACCCAGTAAACCAATCCCTTGAGTTGTTTGGAATATGTCTAGGAAGTCTCCATAACTGTGTCCCCTATGTGCTTTATTACATATATGGATATGTACGAAGCACACACAAACATATTGATACATATGCCTACAGATACACCTGGATACGCACATGATTTACTTGCATATGCCTTCCTATACACATATACGCATACATCTCTACCTTTGTATCCATATACATATTTTTTGTTGTTATCAGATATAGTTTGAAATAAAGATTTGTCTGCTTTAATGTTTACTGAACGAAGCAGGATAAATTGCAAAGACAGAAGGGTGTCTACAATATACAGAATATGTAAAAAACTGCCTGGAAGGAAACACGCCAATAGAGTAAGCAGATTCCCTCCTGGTGGGGGATTATGAGTGACCACTTCTCTTCTTGTTTTTTAATCTCTAATTTTCTATAGGAGACATGTCAATTAATAAGCAATAGAGGTAAAGAGCAAAGCATTTAAACCCCCGTAACCCCTCACCTCAGCTTATCCCACTCGCGTCTTCACTTTTAATAGTTTGTTGTAGATCCTTCTAGATGTTTTCTTTGAATTCATCATGTATTACTTTTGAAACTTACATGTACAATCAGAGAAAAAATGGGGCGAGGGGAGAAAATAAACAAGATTCTCTTCAAATGAATTGAAAATTAGCAGCTTAGAGATTTTTTGCAAAGCAGCTCTCTTCTTTTACAGATGAGGAATGAGGAAGCCGGGCTCGGGAGGGTGGGTGGCCTGTCAAGTCACGTGGTGGCTATGCCAGAGCTGAGGCAGCCTTCCCTCCAGCCCTGGGGAGGGAGGCCCCAGAATGCTGTGGACTGGGCTGGGGCAGAAACAGGAGCTTTCAGCTGTTTGTTCTGGGTGTGGATTGTTGAGGGACAGGGGACACCTGGGCGTTTCCACTTCCGGCCGTGGGGGAGTTAATGTTTAATATTCTGGAATATAAGCTCAACTGTGAGGTGAGACCCTGAGCACAGGTCTTAAGGAGTCCCGGAGCAGCCACTGCAGCTGTTGCTATGTCGGTGAGGTTACCTGGGGGCCCCCACTGCCCACCTCCTTCCATTCATCCATGCCTTTGGGTGGGGGTGGAGTGCCTCGGCTTCTCCATCTGTAGAGCGAGGAAGTTGGACAGATCAGCTCCCCAGCCCTTCGCTGTCCACTCTCCACCATCGATCCGCAGTGGGAGCCAGAACCCATCTCTTTCCCTCTCCAGCCTCGTTTTTTTCATCAGTAATAATAATAACAATTACAATTGCTGCCATTTGTTGAAGGAGCCCTGGTGGTGCTGTGGTTAAGCGCTGGGCTGCCAACCGAAAGGTCTGCGTTTCAAACCCACCAGGTTCTCCGCGGGAGAAAAGACCTGGAGATCTCCTCACGTAAAGAGTAAAGCCTAGGAAACCCTATGGGGCAGTTCTACTCTGTCCTACAGGGCTGCTATGACTTGGAAATGACTTGATGGCGTACAACAACATCTACTGAGCTTTTTAACAATAAAGAAACTGAGGCTCGGAGACTGAATTGCCCAGGGTCACAATCTGTAAATTGCAGAGGGTGATGTGGATGTGGATCATTTTTGAAGCCCCTGGTACTTTGATTCCAAACCTGGCTCTGCCATAACTTGCTGTGTGGCCTTGGGCAAGTCATCCACATCTGTGTCATGGGGTCACAGCTGCTACCTTGTGAGGATTAGGTGGGATGCAAGCCTAGAGAGGGGCACACGAGTCTCACAGGGAGGACTTCCCACCCTCTCCTTTCCTTCATTGCCCCACCCGTCCCCTCACTTTCCTTCTCCAGGGACCACCTAGCCAAATCCTTATATTACAGATGGGAGAACCGAGGCCCAGGAAGGGGAGGGGCTGGCCTCAGGTCACTCAACCAGTTAGTGGCAGAGCCGGGAATAGACCCCGGGCTTCCTGACTCCCAGCCCCTGGGCTTGATGAACTGTCCCCCACCCCTGCTTTGCCTCCCTGCCCCTCTCTGGGCCTCAGTCTCCCCATTTGTTAAGTGAGGACAAAGATCCTGGATGGGCATGCTACAACATGTCTAGTTCCTGTTGCCATCGAGTTGACTCTGACTCATGGTGACCACGTGTGTTACAGAGTAGAAGTGCTTCATAGGGTTTTCTTGGCTATAATCTTAATGGAAGCAGATTGCCAGGCCTTTTTTCCAAGGTACCATGGAGTGGGTTCAAACTCCTAACCTTTAGATTAGTAGTGGAGTGCAAACCATTTGCATTACTTACCTCCAACAGGTCTAGACAACCCCATTGCACCCGTGACTGTGGCCTTTCTCACCCCGCCCTGCAGCAGCCCCTACTCCACCCTTGAGGGCTTGGGTTCTATTTCAGCCCATCAGCCCCCGGGAAGTTCAAGGTGCTGTATAAGGGAATGGAGTGCTTCTCCCCACCCAGTCCTAGCTCTCCTACCCCCACGTGGCGTGGGGAGTGGGCAGGCAAAACACGGAGGGAGACTGGGAGACTCTGGCTTCTTGCATGATGTGCGCATTGCGTGTGTGCACAAAACATGAATCTATGTGCGTTGGCTGTGTGGCAGCAATGTCATTTTAACCCTTTTGGGAGATACCATTATTATCCTCACTGGATAAACCTCATATCTGAATGGTAAAGTCCTTTGTCAGTAAGAGGCTGAACGAGTGTTTTAATCTGGTCTGTCTGGCTCCAAAGACTGGGCTCTAGCTCTTACATTAAACACTGATAGGGAGGTCAGGTCTCCCACCTCCAAATCCCCCTCTCTCTCGGGCAGGGAGATTTTGTCCCTAGGGGACATTAGGCAATGTTTACAGACATTTTTGGCAATCATAACTCGAGGGGGGGGGGCGTTGGTGGTGGTGTGCCCTGGCATTAGTGGATAGAGGCCGGGGAGGCTGCTCAACATCCTACAATGCACAGGGCAGGCAGTCACAACAGCCCCCCAGTATCCACAGTGCCAAGGCTGAGAAGGCCTGGGCTAAGGCATCACAGTGCCTGGCACGGAACCATCAGAACTCCACTCTCCTGGGTTAAGTGTTGCCTCTCTTCAAGCCTTCCCTTTAAAATGCCCTGCCTCTGAGAGTTGGGTAATATCTTACAACCCTAGCCCTGTGAGTGGGCCAGCAGATCACGTTCTGCTTTGTAGAGTGGTGGCAGCTGCTTGCGGAGGGCACCGATCACCTCCACAGCCACTGCCCTTGACCAGTGGTGAAGCACCTGGTCCGATGGGTTGATTCAGAGCTTCTCAGATTATGCTCCCTCCCAGACAAAAACAGATCAGCAAACAGAAACCCCACAGTTAAAAAATGTTCTCCGTACGTTGTTGGAAATCATGGTGCCTGTTGCCTTCTGTTTGGCCCAACACCATCACCCCTCACCCTCCAGTCATGGATGCAAAAACTGGACATTTTCTCAGTCTTGGGTAATGAGCTTTGAAAGCCCAGCTTCGAGACCCTCCCTTCTAACCATGGCGCAGCTGTCGAGAGCTTAAAGCTACTGCGATATGCAAATTCAGGCGATGCTCAGGAAGTGAGGAAAACAAGAAGCAGATAGATGGCCACCCTCAGCTGGCCTTTAATTGGTGCCAGGTCTGATGCTTGGGGCTTTACAAACATCTAGCATCCTCCCCAAGCGGCTGGAAGATGGGTGCTCTTAAACTCAGTGCCTCAACAACTATTTTTGAATGTCTCAAAAATGAGGGAAGTGAGGACTGGAAAGGGACTATAGTAGACACATTCGGATATATGACTTACGAGTTTTGTAGACTTAGTTGTGGACAGGCCTCTGATACTGTTTTCTGTGAACAAAGTTACTCCAAGTTTGGTGCAGGAACTAAATATATCCTGGTTTTGGGGATTCTGCTAAGGGCACTGTGACTGCATCACTGGGAAATGCTATATGAAGCCTCTTGTTGCTCTCAAGCATCCTGCAAGTTCAGCAGGGACCACTCTACCCATTTCATAGATGGGCAAACTGAGGCTCTGCCAGCTGGGCCCTGCACCTCCAGAACCAGCTGTTCTGCTAGCTGGGCTGGGTGGGTGACAGCAAAGTAGAGGGGCTCTGGAAAGCCTAGTTCAGTGCACTCTGGCGCTTTCCCTTCCCAGTGTGCCTGTAGTGCTCTCCAGGCCTCAGGGACCTCACCTAGGTGGGAGATTGGGGGTGGGGGGTGGGATGTGAGCCCCGAGGCTGGTCAGGACAAGATGGGATGAGGCTCCTGAACGGGCTTCATCCACAGAAGACTGCTTGGCACAGCAAGGGGGATGTCCTGGGGCAACTCTAGTGGAATGTTTTTCTGTTGGCTCAGGAAGAATTTGAGATCAAGAACATGGGCATGAAGTCAGGGGCAACGCTGAAGATCAAGGGCAAGATCACCAATGATGCTGATGGGTGAGTGGCAGGGGTAACGGCGGGGGCTGGCTCTGAGTCGGAATCAACTCGATAGCAATGTTTTTTTTTAAGGGTGGGGGCGGGGGACTATCCCCAGGCCTGGAGCAGGCAGGGAAGGTAGGGGGCAGGCGGGGCAGCCCCGTGAAGAACAGCACGGCAGCTTCGGGTTCAGACCATGAGATCGACCACAGGCCAAGGCACCCTGTCTATGCCCTTGCTCTCTGTTATGTTAGGATTCTCATATTAGAAAGCTGGGTTTGGAGACCCTCAGAATTTCAGGGCCAATGCCATATACTCGGTTCCTTGGCCCCAACAGCCACTGAAAGGACAGGTGGAGGAGCCCTGCCCAGCCCCCGTAGGGCAGGTGCCTATACTGAAAGCCCAATCTCCCAGGGACACCCCTCTTTCCAGAGCTGGTTAGCCAGAGGGACCACCTTTCAGGCACGTTAAGCCAAGGGAAGCCACCAGGGGGCGTCAAGTGGTCCCCTTTCCAGCTCCTCCATTTGTGTTCAACCAGAGGCATCTATCTACCTCTGGAGGTTATAGCCCAGCAGTGGGCTTTCCCAAGGGCACATTTCGGCATTTCTTGGGACTGATTCCCATCAGCTTTTGGTTGGGAAGTGGGGAGAGGACAGATTCATGGAGTAGCAGCCAAGAGAAAAATGATCCCTTACTCCTACTTGAAAAACAGCCCTGGTGGCACAATGGTTAAAGCACCCAGCTGCTAATGGAAAGGTCATCAGCTGCTCCGCGGGAGAAAGATGTGGCAGTCTGCTTCCATAAAGACCACAGACTTGGAAACCCTATGGGGCAGTTCTACTCTATCCTATAGGGTCACTATGAGTCGGAATTGATTTGATGGCAGTGGGTTTGGTTTTCGGGTTTTGGTTCCTACTTGGGCCCCTTGAGATTGCAGAAATGTGGGGTACTCCCAGCTTGAGACCTCTGAGTGAAGGCACCCGACGACCCAGAGTGCCCCTGCTCTCAGGAACACCAAAGGTCTAACCCAGGCTCCTGTAGCAATGCTGCCAAGAGGTCACACAACCCCAATTACATACCTCTAGTGACAGGGAGCTCACCACCGCAGGTTGGCACCTGTTTATAGCCAAACTTAATGCATGTGCAGAGATCTCAGGACAGCCATTCTAACCTCCAAGATTAGATGCCTCCCGTTTTTACACTGTCATTATCAGTTACCCCCCTGTCCGCAGCCTTGGTCCGTGTTCCAAAGGGAACGTGATACTCCAGTGCCAAGTCCGACTGGATTGTTACCTCCTTGTTTTAAGGCACAGACCTCACTATATGCAACCTTTCTTTGGTGACTCTTCTAGCCTGTGGTCAACCAAAACAACCCCCCAAGTTGTTTTACCTGGGGGTGACCCCTAAACCTCACCTATTACCCCTCCTCCTGCAGCTTTGAAATTAATCTGGGCCAGAGGGCTGAGAAACTGAACCTGCATTTCAACCCACGCTTCAAGGAGTCCACTATTGTTTGCAACTCTTTTGATGGCTGCTGGGGCCAGGAGCAACGTTCAAATCACCTGTGCTTCCGCCCAGGGTCAGATGTCAAGGTGAGGTCATAGTGGAAAGGGGCTGGGATGGATGACAAGGGGAGAGCCCAGATGGTAGGGGACCCCAGCCTGGGCACTGTGTGAGCCACCAACCAGACACTGCCCTGGCCTGTTTCCAGGGTAACCCATGCCTCCCTGACATCCTCCCTTCTTCCTGCAGTTCATCATGACCTTTGAGAAAGACCAGTTCAAGGTGACACTGCCAGATGGACACGTGCTGACCTTTCCCAACAGGCTGGGCCACTGCCACCTGAGCTACCTGAGCGTGAAGGGGGGGTTCCAGATCTCCTCCTTCAAGTTTGACTGAGTGGGCACTTCTACTGAAAGCCAGAATAAAACACCCCAGGCCAGATTCCCTACCAAGTCCTCCTCATCACAGGAGCCTTGTGGGCCAGGCTCTGCCCCTCCCTCCCTCACCCACCTGCAGTGCCCACCCCTCTCATTCTCCTCCCACAAGGATTAAAAGCAAACCAAAGAATCTGCCTTGATTATGCCTTTCTGTGGCAGGAAATATAAGTTACTGCTTTCTAAGCATTTTGATGCTCGCGGCATTCTCATGAAAGAGGGGTAAACTGAGGCACAAGGACACAGGACTGCTGGTGGGGGGAGCTGGGAGCTCCCAAACACCTTGAAGCACCTGCCCCGGCTTTTATTGTTAGCTGCCATCAAGTTGATTTTGACTCATGGCAACCCTACACGTGCAGAGCAGAACCCCACAGGGTTCTCAAGGCTGTGACCTTTCAGAAGCAGATTGCCAGACCTGCCTTCTGAAGTGCCTCTGGGTGGGTATGAATCGCCAACCTTTTGGCTAGTAGTTGAGCGCTTAAACATTTGTGCCATCCAAGGACCCCTCTGCCCCCTGCCTACCTGCCCTCTATCATCACCGGAGCACGGGCCAAGCTGCCCTGAAGGATTATGGGGCAGACACTGGCTCCTGGCACCTGGGCTGAGCAGTTCCCGGAACTGCAGATAAGGGCCCTCACCTGGGACATTCCACCCTGGTTACTCATTACCCACTGCCTCGCCCCTCACTGGGGGCCTTGAGGGGGGTCCTTGGCTTTCAAAACTCCCAGGAGGGGAGGGTATTTAGGCAGGTGAGGCTGAAGCCATTCTCCCCAGTTCCCACGCAGGCCCCCAAGCATCTGGCAGGGCACGCTGTTTTATCAAAAAGCCCTTTTTAATCAGGCCTCGGAGGCGGGCCTGGGGTACACAGGAAGGTGGGATGCTTTCCCCGTGAGGGCACACCTGACCTTTCTCAAGGCTTCTGGGATGACTGGCAGTGGGTAGGGCTCTAGCACACAGCAGGGACCCTGCTGGGGGCAGCTCCAGAATGAGCTGGGGGCAGGCATCCCTTTGGGAGACAATGGCCCTGTGTGCCATGCTCCCACCTCCCACCCAGTGAGGACAGTGTCCCACAAAGGCTGCACTGTGAGGCTGGGCATAGTGGGGGCAGCAAGGGGGTGGGGGTGGGGCCCTAGGCTTGGCCACCGGGTACAGACTGGCAGTGGGGACGGCAGGTCAGGCCAGTGGGGCCTACTGGGAACACCTAGGTCCCAGATAAGCCTGGTCCCTTTTGTCCTCCCTACCATGTCTGTTCTGCAGAGGTGTGGAGGGGCTGGGGCAGCAGCTGTCTTTTTCACGAGAGGTCCCAAGGCAGCCAGGGTCTGAGCCCCATGCCCCGGCCGACAGGCCGGCACTCACACCTTGACCTCATCGTCTTCCTCAGCATCAGCAAACACAAAGGCATTTGCTTGGACTGTGCTGGGCACCGGGGCCCTGCTGCCAGCCTGGGAGGCCCCCCACTCTTCGTTCAGGCTCTCCCAGGAGGCCCGCACTGGGGGAGGCTCCTCTGCCAGCTCCCGCCAGGCATCCATCTTGGTGTGGTAGTGGCTGTCCCCTAAGCCCCTGCCGGGGGTCATGTCACCAGGTGCACAGGGACCCTCTTGCACTGGGTTGGGCCTTGCCTCAGTCCCTGGGCCTGACCCAGTGGTTACCCCGTTGGGGCAGCGTCCTTGGGGCAGGGGGTTTGTGGCAGGGACTGGGGCTGGGGGGTTTGCGGTGGGAGCTGGAGGGTTTGTGATGGATGCTGGGGCTGAGGTCTCCGCTGCAGGGGCTTCTGAGAGGCTCATGACCCCCAGCAGCTCAGTGAGGAGGGAGGGCCCAAGGTCAAGGTCAAGGCGGAAGGACAAGAGGGAGTCAGAGCGGCGGAGTTCAGGCTCAGACGGGAAGGAGCTATCACGGTCTCCGTCACGGTCTCGAGGCTTTTCCGGGCGCGGCAGGCGGGACATGGTGCAGAACCCAGAGTCCAGGCCTGGAAGAGAAGTGAGGAGAGCTGGGGGTCATGCCTTAACTGGGAACTGGGAGGGGAGAGCTGGGACCAACCCCGGCTTGTTACGTTGCCTCTGGCAAGTCACTGCCCTCTCTGGCCTCAGTTTTCCCATCCTTCCAACGTGAGTGGACCCTGTGGTCTCTTGTGCGATCCCCTCATCAACTCTAGAATCTGAAAATTGACAATCCTCATTCCCATTTGGCAGATGAGGAAACAGACTCAGTCTGGGACTAGAAGGAGCTTGCCCAGGACCAGAGTATAATGAGGTAGAGCCTGGCCTGGAGCTCAAGTTCCCTGACGCTCAGTCCCAGCTGTGAACTTGACCTTGACCCCCAGTCCCCAGCCCCTAGCATGGCACTGAACAATGGCTGCAGGTGAACCCATAGCATGTGGGCTGGTTGGAAGGCACAGGGGTGGAACCAGCACTGGGGATCTGACTGCATAGAAATCAGACTTGAAGAACAGCATATGCCACCCAAGGGTCATCTGGTCCAGCCCCCTACCTCCAGAACTACCACGCCTGAGACCTCACGGTTACTGTGAACCAGTCCTTGGTGGGGTTCGGAGGAGCCACCTGGAGCAGGTACATTACAGGAAGTCTCTGGTGGTGGAGGCAAAGCCGCAGGGCAGGGAATGGCCACCAGGTGGCAGCACGGGCCCACGGTTCCCAGGTTCTCTCCTTCCAGCAAAGCCAAGGTGGCCCCTGCCACTCCTTGCTTGGGCAGGAAGGGCCTCTGGCTTCTGTCCATGTAAGTGGTTTTCCAAATTTGTCAAGTTAAAGAAACCTTTGTTCAGATAACAAAGGCTTACATGCCCGGAGCACCTACTATGTACCAGGCTCTGGGCCACACCCATTACTTGCCCCGGCTCAGTGAACCTCTGCAATGACCCAAGGGACCCATTTACACAGCAGGGACTTGAAGCTTACCAAGCTGAGTTGGGCAGAACCAGGATTCGAATCCAGAGCCCAGGCTCTTAACCCCACCACTATTAGCATTCTGACACAAGGGGGCTGCTTTGGTTGGAGGGGGCAAGAGGGGGTAAGCAGGCCCACCTGAGGGCCCAGAGACGGGGAGGGGCTTAGCAGTAAGTCAGGGTCAGTTAGAAGTCAAACCCCATCTCCTCACCTCTCAACCACGAAGAGTTTTGGGGAATAAGCTAGTTCCCACCCTGACACCACCCGTCCACGTTCGGGGGTTTGAGCAAACAATTGTGCAGAAAAGGACTGATTAGAGGCTTGGCTGAACCATCGAAACCCTCTGGGCCTTAGCCTCTGAAAAACGGGCAAGTGAGCCAGGCCCTCACCGTAACTGGAGTTGCCATCTGTGGAGACGGTAGGGCTGTTGTCAAAGCTGAGCTTGCTGACCACAAGGCTGTCATAGGCCGCCTGGTTGAGCTGGGGCAGGGAGATGGCATTCTTGATGATGGGGGAGATGGCGGGTGGGGCGGGTGAGGGTGCAGGCGGGGAGGCCATCCTCCGGGGTGGCGTCCCCACTCTCCGCACCAGCTGCAGCTTCCTGGCCAGGAAGCCGCGGGGCGAGCGGTGTGTGCCCCGAGAGATGCCTCCATGGTTGCTGAGGAAGGAGGTGTCACCAAAGACGTCACCGCCACGGCCAACGTGCATGGTGTGGCGGAAGTCCCCGAGTGGGGGGCTGATCATGTCTGCTGTCAGCCTCCTCTTCCCCTGCGAGCTGGACACCCAGCCCACAGGCGAGAGCTTGCCGAAGCTCATGGTGGGGGCTCCTCCGGCCCCCTGGGGGCCTGGCATCAGCTCTGGCTGCTCACAGCTGCTGGTCCATGCCCACTAGGCCGGGGGAGGGAGGCAGGCTGGGCTCAGGGCCCCACTTCTCAGCTCCCTCCCTCCAGGTGGAAGGTGGCAGGCAGAGGCTGTCCCTTGACCACCTAAGGTGCTGCCCTCAAATGCTGAGGCTGCGGGGGGCCCATGGCTTGTCTCTCCAAGTACCGGCTCCCGGTCCTGTGGAAGCAGCTATAGATGTTCTGTAGGAGAAGACAGTGCCTCACACACATGTGGACGGCCTCTCTCCTGCTCGAGGCCTGAGACCTGGAAGAAGGACAGAGAGGAGGGTGAGGTGGTAGGCTATGTAGGGGTTAAAGAGAAAAACAACTACACCCAACAACACAGATGGAGCTTACCGACAAAATGCTGAGCAGAAGCCGGACACCAAGGAGGACACACTGAGCAATTTCATTGATAGAAGTTCAAGAACAGGCAGAACCAATCAATGGTGTTAGAAATTGGAATTGTGGTTGCCACTGAGTGGGCCAAACTTGTTACCGTGGAGTCAATTCCAACTCATAGCGACCCTATAGGACAGAGTAGAACTGCCCCATAGGGTTTCCAGGGAGCAGCTGGTGGATTCGAACTGCCGACCTTTTGGTTAGCAGCCAGGCTCTTAACCACTGCACCACCAGGGCTCTGTTGACTGGGAGGGGGCACAAAAAATGCATCGAGCTATACACTTAAGACATATGCCATATGTCAGGAAAAAGTATAAATGATAATTCTACAGGGTTCACTCTCATTTCATATACATAATAGCCCTGAGAGAGGCACTCTTATTAGAGAAGAAAAACTGAGGAACAGAGAAGTGAAGTGACTTGCCCAAGGCCACACAGTAGGAAACAGTGAAGCAGGGCCCCAAGCCCCAGAACCCTTGAGTTCCAGGCTACATTGCCTCCTTTTGGCATGTGGGTTAAAATCTCTCCCACCCATAGGTGCCCAGAGGAGAGGAGGTACTTTGGTGAAGGCGCTGTGAACTGCTGTGTAGCTATGTAACAGCCTCAGCAGAGGTTCCTCAGAACCCTCCACCTTCAAGGTGCTTCCTGGAAAAAGGATCCTGTGGTCAAATTGGCTTTATTCAGCTGCCTCCTACATGCCTGAGCAATTCAAGGCTCTGAGAAGGCACGCAGGAAAGAACCTCATCATAGTATGTCAAATTGATGTGGGAGCCTTGTCAGAGAACACGTTTTGGAAAAAGCTCAGCTGGTGCCAAAAGCTATCGTTTTCTCCCCTCCTGATCCCCCCAACCATGTCCTCCCAGCCCCACCCTTGCCTAAGCTCCCACTGTCCTCTCCACCTGACCTATCCCTTCTAGTACCATAGGAAGTCCAGGCTGGAGGGGCACCTATGATCCTATAGTGCAACCTCCAGGTTGTCCTCTGGCCCAGAAAGGGGCCAATTTTGCTCAAGGTCCCATCAGAAGAGCTAGTCGAGACTTGAACTCAGAGCCTCTGACTCACATATCCCTTGAGTGGCTTGTGGAGCCCAGTCTTGTCTCCCCAGATCGGCAACACACTCTGAGGGTGGGGCAGCTGCCTGGATTGGCCCGCCTTCTACCCTCCCAGCACCCAGCTTGGGTTCTGCACACAGCAAGTGCCAAGCCAAATCAATACCAGATTAGTCACAGGAGATCTCTGTGATAACCTTCATACCAAAGGATCACCCCTGCCACCTTCCAGGAGTGGCAAGGGTAGGCTGGGGACTCAATGTCCTCCCCGTGTGACCTTGGGCAAGTCACTTACCTCCAGGGGCCTGGGACCTGCAGCTGCTGAGAGTTGATAACAATTCCTAACAAGAAAACCTGGAGGGAGTCTCAACCATTTTTTAAACCTTTGCTGCCACTTCCTAGCATAAAACTCTCAACACTGCCTTTCTACTGTTATTTGAAATTCAAAATAGGTTAAATAACAAGATAAAAAACAAAGAAGGCAACAGGACAAAGCTTGCTTTGTATTCTGACCACATTCTCTTCCCTTCCCACCATCTGATCCTCCCCCTGATCCTAGCTCCTCCCCCTGGGGGGGGTCTGAATCATCTCTTTTCCTGGCACCCCCACCCCAGCACCCAGAAGGCTGCGTGGAATGTTTGCTGAGGTTATGAAGCGCCAACCATTACGTGACGTCATCCGATTCCCCAACAACTCTGCCAAGCTGGAGGGCTAGCCTATCCTACCCGGATGGACGGCGGAGGTTCAGAAGGAAGGGACTTGTCGAAGGTCAAAGGGCAGGTACACACCACAGGCCAGGTTTCCCTGCTCACCAGGGTCAAGGATAAATCTGTTGGGGAAGAAACTTGCCATGTGTTGGGGTCACAGTGCCTGTCTGCCATGTGGCCACATCTGCCTCTCCTGCTGCCCCAACTCCCTGGCTTCCTGAGGCAGCCTCTCCCCTCCCAGTAAAGGGGGCTCATGCCCCCACCCAACCTCCATGGCCTCTTTGACTGGAGGACCAGCTTCTTTCCCAGTCTCATCACGATGCCACCTCTCAAATGCCTCTGGGCACCCCCAGAAGATCTCCTCCCACCCTCCACCCCGCCTGCTGCAGTAGTGGCCCGTGTGCTGAGCCAAGCTGGATGCCGGGAGGGAGGAAGTAGGACAATCCAGATGGCCGACATCAAGACTGCCACTCAAGCCTGTCTGCCCATATGGAGACTGGGAACAGCCTCCCAGGTGTCCCCTGCCTCCCAGGGCAGTCGTGAGGGTGAAGGGTGCTGCAGTCAAACTCTCAGAGCCTGAAGCAGGGCAGCCCAGGGTTCAACTGGAACACCCTCACATTAATGTCTCTCATTCCACTTGGCACCTGGTGCCAACCGCAGGGCATTGCTGGGATCGGGTCGCACCACCTGGCGCTGGAGTGAGCAGGGCTCTGGGTGTCGTGGCCAGGGCTCACCTGCTCCACCAGTCCAGGAGTACTACCTAGGCCTCCCTGACCGCTCACAACACCCATTTACTCAGAAAGAGGAGTGACTTGCCGCAGATCAGAGAGCAAAAAAAAAAAAGGAGTAGTAGAATCCTGCCTAGGAGTCTATCAACATCCACAGTAAATGTGGGGGTGTGTATGGGGTGGGGAGTGAGGGTGTGTGTGGGGGTGAAGACTACAGGGGCAGTAGAATTATTTTTGGAGGAAGCAGATGCCCAGCCACTAAGCGCAAGGAGGGCAGATCTGAAAGGCAGGAGAGGCTCGTTCTTCTGATTCAGTGCCTGTCACCTGTGACCATGACGCCCCGGTGTCCGTATTTCAAACGGAGTCCTAATATTTGCTCTGTGGGAGGATGGTCAGGACCTGGCGCATGGCAGCCCTCACTCAATACTGGTGACAATGACCGCAAGGGCAAGCTTTGGGACGGGACAGGGATTTTGCACTACAGGAGGCCAGCAGGGGCGCTGTAGAGGCGCAGGTAATCGGGTGGTGGTGGGGGGGTCTGAGGACGGAGGAGGTTGAAGGTGTGGGCCGGCTGGCCCGTGGCGCTTACCTGGGGGTCACCTGCACGCTGCGGTGCCCGCGGACCGCGCCACGTCTTAACTCGAGGCCACTGCTCGCACACACGCCGGCCCCTCCCCGCTAACGTTCAACTGGGTGACACTCGCCCCCATAGCAGGTCTCCGCTAGGACTGAGGATGAGGCTTTCCCAAACCCATGTGACCCCTGGGATAAGGGTTTAACTCCCCGGTGCCGGCTTCTTGTGCGCCCTTAAATCCAGCGGCCTCAAGGCGGAGACGGGGAAACTGAGGCCAGAAAGGGGTAGCAAGCTGTCTGCGGCCACACTGCGGTGGTGCGGGTTCCCAGGACTCCGAGCAGGTGAGGAGGAGGAGGAAGGACCACCTTGGGCTGTAGGGGCGACCCGTGGGGCTTGGAGCGCTTTCTGCCTCACCATCTCAAATTAGAGCCAAATCAGGCCCAGGGCTCCCCTAGCCATGCGGTTCAGTCCCCGCCACGCGTTTGGGGACGCTGTGGTCTTCGGGGTAGTCCCTTCGCCTCTTTGAGCCTCAGTTTCCGGGCTAGAAAATGGGATCAGCCCGCGCGTATCTCGCTTGGTTGGGATAAGGATAGGACAGCCTCGTGTGCAGCAGTGATTGGAAACCTGGGAGAGGCTGAAGCCATGAAACATTCCATCTGGGATCGCTCCTCGGGGGAGGGGGCAGCCGGCTGCCTTGGCCGGAGGGGAACAGGACGGGATGACCTCACCCGCGGCTCCGGCCTGGAATGCAGCGGTGAGGGGGGGGCAGGGTGCCTGGTCCATCTCCCAGCGCCACCCCCCACCCCACTTCCCGCTCCTGCACGCCCTCCGCCGAGGAGACGGGCATTCCGGCCACAGCTCCCTCCGCGTGCCTTCCTCTCCCAGTGCAGGAAGGAGCGCAGACGGCCCTGCTCGCCCCCTCCACCCCCCGCTTACCCTCACCCCTCGGCTCTCTGTCCCTCCTCCGCTGGGAACACCACAAAACAGCCCGAAAACTTGGAGGCTCCCCGCGGCCAGCGCTCCGGGCTTCCTGTTGGCACCGGGACGCCTTTTGTGGCTGGGCGCCCTCCCCCACCGCGGCCCCGAGGGCCTAGGAGGGTGCCATCCCGGGGCTGCCGCGCACCCCGGCCCGCCGGCTGCCTCCACGCCCACCCAGGGCTCGGGGACCCGCGGCCGGCCCGTGCTTACCTTCGCTCCGCGAGCCCCGAGGCGGGGGTTGAAGGGCGGCCTCGTCGGCAGTGGCTGCGGCGGCGCGTTCAGGCGCGCAGCCCGAGAGTCGCTGGGCCGGTCTGCACCGCCCTGGCCGCGGGCTCCGGGCTGGCTCCGGGGGCGGGGGCGGGGTGTGGGCGCTCCCTCCGCCTCCTCCCTCCCCTCTGCGGGCGGGGCCGGGTCCCCCCCAGGCACCGTCCACGCTTAGAGCTGCGGCCAGAGCTGGAGGGGGCGCGCTGGGCGCTAGGCTCGACCCCTGCCGACGCTTGGGGCAGGGCAGCAGGGGAGTGTGCAGGCTGCCC